GATGAAACTTTCGATTCAATTTTATTTCTCATATCATTTTCTACACTTCCAAATGTGTGTGATACAATGTTTTTGGTAGTGTCCATTCCTTTTAATTTCATTTGTCATCTTTTTGAATGCAGTTCGTGCGAGAGTCGAGAATCGAGCGATGTGATCATATCGCAAACATATTCGAATGCCAAAGAATTTCGTATTTACTTGATACATTTTCTCTCTTTCTCAACATGAGTGTGCATCTTAATTTTTTTTTTGTATCTACTCGCCAGCAAAAATACTGTCGATGTGATGTGTTGATTGTTTCGATTATCGGTCATTTCGTTGTTGTTCCCATCTTGAGAATTTTAATAAGGTTTAGTATGTGAATGTGCAAATAAAAGGTCGTTACTAACGAATTGTTAGTATATCGCGCTACTCGTCTTGGATCATATCAATTTCGTCAACAATTGTGCAGTCGCACAGAAAAACCACATATTTTTCACTCCAAAAATATGTATTTTTATTGAATAAAATTTGCAACAGTCGCAATGGTCAAAACGTGAACAATTCGCTCACTTTCATTCCATAACGAAAACATTTCTTAACACTTGCAGCGATGCACGATGATATGGCAAACGCATTCCGAAATGCTTTTCGATGTTTGATGCTTTCATTGATATGACATTTTTGAGAATTTATTTATTCTCTTTGGATACTTCATTTCGTCGATGTTGCATGCATTTCATATTTAATTTCATTTGTTTCAGTTACACTGGTTTCTCTTCTTTTTTTATCATGTCCAAAGTTACATTTAAAGGCAATGCACGTGATGAGAATTTCATAAGCGAAAACAATTCGTTTTCAATGATGTGTCACGGTTGAGTATAAATCCATTTTTTTTTCTCTCTCGTTATCTGCTGTTGTTGACAAAAATCGACAAAATTCACTTACGATTTATCACACAATTGCTTCATTATTCATCAAAATGTTGTCAAATCGTAGAAATATTGATATGAACTTCACTTCTGGATGGCACGAAACACCATTAGAAAGCAAAAGAAATAACTGCATCGATTGCAGCAATCCATCAAACAACAACAACAAAAAAAAGAACGTTGAATATATCATCAATAAATCTAAACGAGTAAAATACCAAAAATGGCATTATTTCTTTTATCGATGTCATTTTGTGAAACATGAATGTAAATGTCATTGCTGTTTCTTTATGTGGATGCCGGTTTTTCTCTTATCTCGTCAAACGCTGCCATTTTTCTTTCTTGTTCAAGTGAAAGTCATACATATTTCAAGCATGGCATGGATATGAATATGAGGCTATCATTTATTTGGTACTTCCGATATATACCAACATTTCAATAAATGTTCATTTTTCTCTGGTTCGTTTATTCCATCGAGCACATCAAAGTCTCAACAGTGAAAAAACGGACCAAAGCCATTGTTGGCTGAATGGTACATTCGAACAAAGTCAAAGTTTGAGTCAAAGGTAAATTGCGTCCTGAGAAAGCGGCAGCAAATAGGAAAGACATTGAGATCAAAATAATTCATATATTTTGTATGTAATTTTTTTTGTCGGATCATCGATTTTACTCGTGTGACATCTACTCAGACTCCTGCTGTCACTTATAAAAGCAAATGACAACTAAGCACAGAGGATGTCAATTGAAATGGACTCGACGGTGAGAAAATTATTTTTTTCAACAAAGAATAACCGACCAATTGTAACAATGAACTCAGCATTCCTTTCTTATTTTAGACTACTTATTCAAGACTCTTTTTTTATTGAGGCATTTCAAAAAGTGGAAACTTTTAATTTTTCTTCCTTCTCAATTCGTTGTCTGCATTGTTCCGGAATCGGAACAAATACAAGAATTCAATTCTTTTATTGACTTTTAAGCTAAGAAAACATCAGTTGTCATTAGAAGATGCTTCGAACGGCATCAATATCCCTTCAAATCTATTTAGACAGCATGTCGACTTTCTTTTTTTAATATCTCTTCTAATAGAAAGAATGACAATGCTAGAGAAAGAGAAGAAAAACCAATTTTATTTTATCGTTCGTTTTCTTAACATCCAATTTATTTTCGGTGTAGCTCGCGTTTCAAGACTCCTTTTTCGGTAATAGTATGTAATATGACAATATCTGTCAGTTGCACTAAGTCAGTAAATAAATTGTTGCTGAGTGACATTGTTTGGTGTTAAAGCAGGAAACGATTGAAGTTCATAAGTTACTGGAAATAATACTGTTTGCGTATGTTAAAATCGATTCATTGTGTATGTTGGTTATCTTTTGTGTAAGTGCTCTCTCAACACAAAGTTATATATGCACACACAAATCATCCGAAAAAAAGGTGTACCGGATGTGCACTGTGTTTGCGTATACATATATTTTTTTCTCTCGATCCAATACTTTGAATGACAGCGGAACAATAGCCGAAAAACAACCATGTCAAACGATGTGGAGAGAGAGTGAGCATATTTTTGCAAAAGATCAGAGTGTTATGCCGTAGGGCTCTTTTGCTCTACCGTGCAGTTTTATGCATTATTTATGGCCGTATAGTCTTTGTGCGCATTGAGTTGTGAATTTGCAGGAGAAAAGGAAAAAACACAAAATCAATGAAACCAGAAAATATACTAGTGAATAGAAACCGATACAAAGACATAATACACAGGTAAAAATGCGTAACTAAATGACATTTTTCCATGTTATATTGTCATTGTAAAACCGTAAGATCGGCGTTTTCATTCTGTCAGTTGTTGTCAATTGCATTCGATGATGTTGGGCATGAAGAGCGTGGCTAATGTTTTTTTTTGCGTCTTTTCAATTAAAACGATGAAAGAAGAGCATCAAAAGGAAGCAAAAATAAAGAAGAATAGAAGTGTCTTGACGTGTACGAGTTGCTAAATAGCCTGATTCGAATAAAATATGAAGTTTCAAATCCGTAACGGATATATGTTCGCAATCTATAAGCTATGCGATCATTTGAAGCAGAAGAATGCATTTAAACTGCAAATAAATATTCTCATTGAATGTGCGCAACCAATTCAATGCAGGGCATGGATGATAGTTAAATGTGTCTAATGTGTCTGATGGCAATAGATGACTGTTTTGCATGCGTATGGGCAAAATGAAGCAATAAATTTCACCTATATAAATCGAGCGGAGCCGGGAAGAGAGCTGTCAATCGATCGGTCTTGTACATGTTGTTTTGGTGAATGGTAAAATGTAGCAATTGTTATTCAACGGTGAGAGCAAACGAGTGTGGAATAAGTGACACATCAACTTAAATGTATGATCTACCAAACATTCTATATTCTCATTTGCTTCGTTGAATTGCATATTCCAACGTTGATGGCTTGCTTCGGCTGTCAAACGGCGTTACTTGGCCGTTTCCAGTTGTTTTTGTGGTTGTTTTTCTTCGATCAAAATGAAGGCATCGCCACTTATGCTGAAAATTGCTGCGTAATTTTGTTGATTCTTACAGAGTAGATGATCGAAATGCGAGCGATTTGAATTATTCAAATTAAAAAAAACACAAACACACACAAACCACGAATTAATATAAAACAGTTGAATACACAGTTGTGAATTTGAACAGTTCATTGTACGTGATTGACGTTTAAACGTTCTTCAGTGCTGTGGTTTTCTTCTTCTATCTAAATCGTTCGTTCTTTTCTCGCCTCGTTCGAAATCGATGAATCAATAATACACAATTATTGGTTTGATGGCTAATTAATTCCGTTGTTGGTTTCGTATGCTTATGCAATTACACTTTGAATCGCTTCGGTATTTATTTATACCTTTTTTTATAAATCATTGCAGCAATTACTCGATAGCAATTGTTTTGCTCTTTTGAAACGAACGGGCGATCATCATCGTTCGATGAAATAAACAACAAATTACTGCAAATTGTGCATTGTTTGATTATGAAATCGCTGGCATAACTATGTGAATAACCAATAGGTTATAAACAAAAATTCCAGCATTATGCTAAATTGAGGCTCATTTTGAATTCGAGACGAAGAAAAAATTAATTCTCTTAGCGTTTTTCTTTTCGTTTGATCGTTTTCTGGACACCAAAAAAAAAAAACAATACGGACTTTTTTCTTTGTTTCTCAACGAAACAACAAAATACAATCAAATAAATTCATTTTGGTGCTTAATGTCAATTCCAAAATGTTCAAACATAATAAAGATATTAAGCTTAATAGCATCTCTCGAAATTCAAGAAACATTTTCTTCTTCATTGACAGAAATGAAGAAAAAACGGCTCAATTTTTCAACGACACAACACCAAAATAAATGATTTATGAACATTTTTGGAGAATTATGACAACAAAAATGCATCACAACTATGTGACATAGAACAAAGTGGTCGAACACCATAATACCACTATTAATAACCAGATTTATCTTGCCACACATACAAAAAAAAATCATAAGAAGTTTATAACCAAAAAAAGTCGCTCGTATGAAAAAAAAACCTTAAGAGAATAGAGTTTCATCTTTTAAAGAGTTTATGTACCTCTTGAGATGATGTGAAATTATGATTGATTTTGTCGATTAAGAATGGAATTAGGCGTTTGAACTGTGTGCGTGTGTGTTTCTGATGCGTTGGCACGTTACAATGTGTGAACTCTTTTACACGTATTGTCAGCTTAACGTTTGCGGTTTGTCTAGAACATGTTCTCGTAAAACCACACCAATGTGTCTATTTCAATCACCAATACTACCATGCTCGATTCAGATGATCGATTTTGAATGAAGCAACAACATATTCAAAATAAACTCTATCTAAAAAAAGTCAAATCGATATTTTGATTGGAATTAATTGTAAAACCGTTTAATTTTCATTGATTCAAGAGCTTAGCATATCGTCTCCATTGAAAAGTTATTCCCCAAAATAGTGTTTGTTTGTTTATTTTTTTATACAATTTCAATTTCCATAAAATTTGGTATTTGTTATTGTGTGTTAACTAATTTGTTTCAATTTTGCTTTTGGTTTCAGTTTTCATTGGACGCAGCAACGTGTTCCGAGGCACCTGTTTGCATAGAGGTAAATATTCACATAAAAATTAAGAGGCTATTTTTTCAACTGTAGCGTTAAACATTCTAGGCCATATTGACTAAATGGATAGTGAGATTCACGTGGTTTTTATTGCTTGATCACGTTTTTTTTTAAGTCAACGGCGTTGTTCTATTCTGTTGTTGGTTGACGGTGTGACACTATGTCACCGCTAACATATATGCTATACGGTCATTATTCGAAGTGCATTCCGAGTCGCGTTCGATCGTGAGCGCCGATAAAGAGACGGAGAGTGAAGAGATTTGGATGCGATAGCCCATACGATATAATAGACCAGATAAATTGCATGTTCGAGTGCACGTCATTAAAAAAAGTGAACTAAACTAACATAATCATCGTCATCATCATCATCATAAGGGAATAAATATGAAAATAATAATAACAATAATAGTTTTACTAGATGCATATTATCATAAATTTTAAAGACACACATTCACACAAACTCGGCTAAGACTGAACCCTATTTCGTGCATCGTTTGGAATATAATCAACGAACGAAAAAAAACTATAGAACAACTAACCAAACAGCTAAACGATAAAATTGGAATCTTGAGCACATTTTTCCAGTTATTTATTGCATAGCTTCGGCAAGAAATGTGGTACGGATGGCCGTGTACAACATTGGCCAAATACACACACATTTTTCGTCAATAAATAAAAACTAAAAGACAAAAAAAGCAACAACGAAAAAAAAGAATACAAATTAAATGAAATACGAAGAAAGAAAGAAGGCGATGGATGAAATAGCAACAACACCGCGACAGAGATACAACTATTCAAACAGATAGACATTGATTTAGTGATCAGTGTGAATTATAGTTTCAAATAGCGAAGTTTTTTTTTCCTCCTCTCTTCGCCGATTCGTTCGTTCATCTTTTATTTGTCTCATACATGATGACTGTCTCTCGTTCGCCTTCTTTTTTTCATCAATGAAACGAGAAAAAAAAAATATATATGTAGCTGCCTTTTTTCCACTCGTTGTTGTTGTTCGATGTGTGACTGTAAATCCAAATAAATCCCCTTAACAAATTACACGACAATTTATTATGAACTTTTTCAAATTTGACTAGATGCATTTTTCATTGTATGTTGGCCGAGAGAATAAGAGACAATTCGCTTTTTTTCCTCGCTTGACATTCTCTCATTCATTCGGTTTCATATTGCATCGAAGCAGCGAGTTTTCGGTTTGATTTTTGTTTCTCTTGAATTTTTCCACATTCTGCACTTTTCACTACACTTAATGTTAAGCGGTTTACTGACTTTTCGACACGGCCGAGCGAGAAGAAAAAAAAAACGATTTTTTGCAGGTTCATTGCTGCACACACCGTTCCGTTCAACATAACGACTCATAGCCGTGGATGCGCGCAGCAACGAAAAGTAAAAATCGTATTTTTCTATGCGAAGCATTAACAATTTATTGAAATTAATTGTCGGCGTATCATCATAGTACACGGTTATGCCCGGTGTACAATTTGTGACTAAAAATAGTAAAAAGGCACACGATCTCTGTTGCGAAACGGTCTCATCTCTCTCTCTCTCTCTCTCGCCATTGAGAACCTTGAAGAAATGTTCATAATAAAAAATTGCCTATTTTTCTTAAGCAAGCATAATGCTCGGCAGCACTCTGAATTTCGTTTTGGAGCTGCACAAATGGAATTTATTGTCACATGGAATTAAGTGTATTTTGAAATAAATGCATTCGCTTTTATTGTTATTGTCATTATTAATATGCGAACGTTCCATCATTTTGTGGACGTTTGCTGCGTTGGCAGTTTAAGCTTGCTCTGTCAGGGTATGCAATGAGACGATACCATTAAATCCAATGGTGACTAATATCACTGAATTCAAATTTAGATTGAAAAAAATTGTGAAGAAGCTCTCGGCTAAAATTTAAGTCGATCAACGACAATCCAATGATAAATATGCGTGTCAAAGATGTACACACGCACATTCGGTGCGTACCATGTTGATGCGAGTAATGCATTCGAGGATTTAAGCGCAACAATTTTTTTTAATAGCACTTTGTGAGAATCGAATGGTATGCAATTTTCTATGTCATGTGCTCTTTTCAATGTCTGGATCAAATGAGAATGAGAAATGAAAAAAAAAACACACCAAGCAATACAATTTCAAATCAAATACGCATTTCGAGAGTTTTAAAACGCATTTCATTTACGAATGCCGCTTGAAAATGCTCTTGTGATTTGCAGCTCTCCCTCTGTTTTCTTGTTTTTCTAGCGATGCATTCACGCAAATAAAAGCAATTGAGCATGAGATAAGCTCATATTACTTTCCTTCACCAGGATATTTGCAATTTCTTTTCTTGCTGACGATGGCTAAAAAAAATACATAGCTTTCACGGGCTCTTTTCCACCCTCATGCAATTTTCAAATGAAATTTTTTAGATAAACAATAGCACAAGCTTGAATGCGTGTAATAGATTCATAATAAGAAATGAAATTGGATAGAAACTTTTGTCAATCATGCATGTTGAAATCGAGAGACAAGGAGAGAGATGGGAGGGAGAGAAAGATATATCCATCTATAGAAGAATAGCAAGAAAAAGAAGAGACGAAAAAGTGAAATTACTTCTTGGAAGTCAGATTGTAAGACATACGCATGATTTAATCATAATAACGAAATGAAATCTTTGAAAATATCAAGTCAACTAATAACATATTACTTGAGCATCTCGAGCAATTGCAATCAATCAAGAACTAATTTGAAGCGTTTAGCAATGGCAACAAAAACATCAAGCAAAAAAAAAGAGCTGCTAATCTAAATTCGATATTTGATACAATTAGTAGTTACGATGTACATTTATATTTCAATTTACTTAATGGTCTTTTAGTTTCGATTGAATGAATTCATTGAGGCAGTAAGAACCTGTTTAACAAATTTTTTTTATTGCTTCGAGCATTTTAAATGAAATTTAACGTCTCTACAATTCTACATCTTACAATTCATGTTGATTTTAATGCGATAGATTGTAATCGATGAACACAGTGGTCATTAGAGATAGTCTGTCCAAAAAAAAAGAAACGTCGTGTCTATATTTCATTTGATTTCGATATTATATATCGTTTTATGTTAAACAATCGGAGCATGTTCGTTTGCTCCAATTGAATTTCGATTCCACAGTGTCGATGAGGTTCAATAAAAATGACCAATGGCGATTCATTCAATTGATTGGCTCAAACAAATAAGCATTGCTTCACTTCGTTTAAATTGAAAACGAAAATCATATCACACAGTGATCAATTGGAATTTTTGTTTTGTTCTTCTTCTTATCTCAAATGGATGTTCATTGGAATTTCACCTAAATATTTCGAAATTGGTCAAGCCAAATTGATTTCGAGATAGATGCGACAGTTGGTGTTGTTGTTAAACAGCTTGTGACGCATTCAAAATTCAGTGAGCCATAGTTTAACCGAATGTGACGAGAGAGAAAAAAAACTAAATTGAACAAAATCACATGGGGATTCACATCTATTTAAGGTTGACAACATAAAATACCAATTTAATGCTAACTCTTTAGTGATTTGGTACGTGATGGAGAATTTCAAGAATGTGACATTTTGCCCTTACCAGATATTTCACAACAATTCAACAGAACATAATCATATACACATTAACCAAACGAAAGACAAAACCAATAATGATTTTTTGTTCTTTTGTTTTTGGTAATAATCGGCCGTCCGTTGGACGAGACTTATTTGGGAAATTTTTTTAAAGTTCACACAAAACCAAAATTGATGCATATTTACAACGAAAATGAAGACGATAAAATGGTGAAAAGTTTGACCAAACCAAACATGTCTGCTAGCTATTATTGTTGCACCTTTGGTTGGCCGGTTTCGAGTGCAATGGCTGCGGTCGATAATAGCACTAAAGTCAAGCTATCGTAAATCGATGTGATATGTTTATTCGGTATGTGGCATTAGGAACTTACTCTGTAACACTTCCTTGTTGATAAAGAGTGGGTTAGGAAAGCGAACGAGCACCAGAGAGTGAGCGAGAGAAATGTGAATTGATGTAATTTATTGCACAGCTGAATAGTTGTAGCCAGAATAATGTGCGGTCAAAGTGAATGTCTCGAGTGGACATAAATGTCGGGGTCAGTTTCATTACTATGATTCGTTTCTCTCTCTTTATTATTTTTTTTGTGTGTGGTTTGTTGTTTTTGCATTATATATTCACCAAAAGCTATTTGTACAGATGTTTATGTGCCCCGAAAAAAGTACGAGGCATAACAATTTATCCATGGACATTTGAACACATGCAATTGACATACAGGTGTTTTGTTTCCATCGAAAAACAACCGTACGGTACAAGCGCACATGGATAAACGATGCAATGTAATCGATGCCGCAATGCAAGTCATTTACGGAAATCCATAAAACACACATAGAAAATATTGCTTGCATGCATCGATATCAAAATAACTTACTATAACCGGGGGAGAAAATATTATGTAAATATATGGCAAAAGAACAACAACAGAGTGAGTGAGCTCTCTTTCTCTCTTTCGTTATGTGTGTGTGTGTGTGGTCAAAGGTTTTGTGAAACGATAAACTTATTACAATACATTATTTATATTTGTTATTGTTGTTTTGCTGTTGTTGATATTCTCTTGATGCTTGCATCAAAGTGTGCCCTATGTATGCTGGTGGGTGTGTAAGAACGACATAACCAAAAACCATAATGAGTCCAAGTGATTTACATTTAATAGAGAAATTGCTATCCAACTGTGTGGCTTATACGAATCATCTAGAGAATCTCTAGCACAGTTGTGTGTGTGTATAGCGTATATAGACATTGAAAGCGATCAACCAAACAAATTATTATTGTTGTTCGATGTATGCATTCATTTTCCACTTAATTTAGATAGCACGCCATATCGATGCTCATAATCGAACTCATAAATAAGTTTAAGATGCACAAATTAAACGATGAGACGGAATGAGCAATCGAATCTCAAGCACATTCAACGCGCATCTCGATTAATGGCCCAATCGTTATAAAATGAAACTTTTCTCTCTCGTTTTTTTTATTTATAGATTTTGGTTTTCTAAATTTTTTGACTCATTTGTTTTTCTCTTTTTCTTTTCTAATTTCAGTGCTGGGAAACATGCAAAAGTATATCGTCGCATCAACAGGCAATCGGTCAAAATCAATGGCAATTACGAATTGCATCGATGATTAAACAAGAATTTCTTGTTGCAACGCATTTGGCATGGGAACCAACAAATCAACTCATCAATTGTCTTGTGACATGGGAGGTCTTTGGCGGCGGTCTAATGGGTAATCTATTGACCGATTCAGCTAATGTCGAATTATCCCTCTGGCCAGATACCAAATATAAAGTCCAAGTCACGTGCAAAAACAAAGTAAGCATTAACTCTACTAGTTTTTTTTTCTCTTTTTCTTTCCACTGCATGTGTTGTGTTGTCTATTCTTATACACATTTCATTCGTGTAATACACTTTCCATGTTTGTTCATTGTTTCATTGCTTCGTGCGTTATTTTTTCAGTTCGTGATCATTTGAACTGTTCAAATTGATGCATTCGTTAAGCAGTAATTTTAAAATTGAATCTGTACATTGCTGTTTTTTTCTCGTCTTCGACTTCTTCTTGATTTCCAACTTGAATTCATCTCCATTTTGCATTCGTTAATGTGATTCTATTGTGAAAATTGAGAACGTTTTGTTGCTCGCATTTGAAATTCGAGCGTTTTAATTCATGACATGCAAACATTTCCAATTCATTTTTCTCATGCAATTTTTTCTCTTCTTTTGCATTTTCTCAGGACTCCGGTATAACAGTGAAGTCATATCCTTTGACAGTAGACACAACTCAAGCAATTAAAATGAAACCCGAATCGTCGTCGTCAGAAACTGAAGATGGTCCTAATGAGCTGTCAACAAATGAAGACCAACAATGGTTGAACAATGGTCCAAACTATCATCGCACATACATTAGCATCCATGATGCTGAGTATCGTTACAAGTCACTGATGTTGGGCATGTGCGCCGGAATCATTGCTTTCCTCTTTATTTTGACGGTATTTTGTGCGAGCAGACGAAACGACGACAAAACTCGTGATTCGCATCCCGAACAAATGAACAGTGGTCTGCTCAACGAAGTCATCACCATTCGCAGTTAGATTGTCACAATGTAATTTCATTTATATTTCGCCGGAAATGATTAAGATCTTTGTTTTTAAGTTTAAGCATTTTGGTCGTTATTTTGAACTAAGGCTCGTTCTTACTTCATTAAATAATTTTTACCATGTTTTTAAATAATGTCAGAATTTTAAAAAATTTCATATTAATTTTCTTGATTCGTCGCCATAACTTAACAAAATGAACCAAAAAACCACCACCCATTTCGTTCGAGGTTTATTTTGTCAAACACTTTTGTATTATTTAAACGATTCCGTCGATTTCGAATCAATGTTGAGAAAAAGCCGACACTTTGTACAAAATACAAAAAACATCAACAAGAAATACGGAGAATGAAGAATCTTTTTAGTAATTTCAAACGTTTCGATGTTAGCAATTAAGATTTCATTCATAAGATAAGATGATTTAATGATTAGAGAGAGAGCGATAATAGAAAGATAATGAGACAGTATAAATAGTTCCACATATATGGAAAACAATTTCATTCGTGTAAATAGCAATAAATGTATAAAATCTAGTCCGTTAATTTTGTGTAAAATAAAATATTAAAATTAAAGAATTAAATGCGTTAAGATTAAATAATTTATTATCGATGTCAATATTATAAACTATTTTCAAACCATCAACTTATTAAGAAGAACTGTGTGAATAATATTGTTAACGACAAACAACTAAATCAATAGAAAGATGTGAGAAAAAACACACATTGATATGGTGCACGAACTTGCACGTGGTCAATATTCAAAAATAAAATGTTGAAAAAAGAAATGAAACAAAAAAACAAAACGGTGTGTTTTATTTGGACAATATTTCAGCGCCATTGAATCGCATAGCTTGGATGCGAAACACATAAATATCCGGGATTGTCAAAACTAACGAGAGATTTTTATCAAAAAATATGGGTTTTTGCTGTTTTTTGTGAGTGAAAAATCAGCGATGTAGCTGATTAAAGGTAAAACGCATTTGAATAAAAATAGAATTTGATTTTGGCGATTCGTAATCATTTCGGTTATCTGGTTAACTCAATTATCACAATGCTATTTATTCGAACGCATGAACGGTCATTTTTGGACCAATAAAAATTACATAAATAACACCCATAATGAATTCCCATTGAATTGCTTTGGCTTTTATTGGACGATAAATTTGCATCCGAGCTGTAAAATTGCCACTTTTTCGTATTATCCGATGCCATGATCGAATAGGTGAATCGATTTCGACACACATGTCGAATAACACGGATATGATGAGAAACAATATCCAATCATTTATAAAATGTTATATTATAATTAAGTATCTAGTTACCCTATACCTATATCGCATCAAATTGGTTCGATTCGCATCGAAATGGTAATAAGACTGTGAGTCAAATTATCTTGAGATAGTATTACTAACTAAGCCGTTTCGAAATTTCGCAATCTGAGTCTATCCGATGAGTAGTCAGCACTGTAACCGAATTTTGTACACGTTCACACCGCACATCTTGGAACATTCTTTCGAATCGATTCACTCTTGGCAATAAAATGCAATCGATTTTAAGAGACTATATCGAATTACGAGTGTACCACGGTTTCAATTCAATTAATCCAAAAACAGTTCATCGTTGTACATTTACGAAAAAAAGTCGATTGGTCAAAGTAATAAAAATTTAATTCAGCTACACATACACAATGTTTCGTTCAATTTTTTTTATGTGGTTTATTTTTTGCTCTCAACCATGCCAAAACATGCGTTTGCAAGAGATTCGATTTTCCTGCAGCGGTGGAGCGAATTTCGGAACGCAGTAAAATTGTATTTTTTTTTCTTCTCTCGCCATCTCCTTATCTCTCCCTTTTTTTAGTTTGTTAAAACTGGACACGATAAAAATGTAACGCATACGAAACGTGAAAACAATCAGACATGAGCAATAAATCGCTTATAAACAAACATACGTGCTTAAAATGGACATTCTTGTATAAGAAGTGACCGCGCCGTAACACACATATACAAAATGTGCTCATGTAGCGATTTGTTTCATTTTATGTCGCGTCAATGTCGGGCTATCACACGCACGTACAAAAAAGGAGCATATGATGGAAAGAAGAGAGTTGAATGCATCTGCATTTCGGCAAACAAAATGCGAACATCCCAAAAAAATGCGCGCTCATTGATAATGCAATAAGTCAGTTCACCACCAAAGGCTTCGGATTTGTTTCGGTAGAGCAGCACATGAACCGAATAAAAAAAAATCTTTGCCATTTTTGCTGTACCTTTTTTTATTAATTCAAGTACAGCTGATTCCATTCGCTGCGTCTATGTCGTGTTAAACCTTTGGATGGAACATCAAAATTGAATTTCATTGCATCCATAAAAGGGCACAAAGACGATCGACTGAAAATTTGATTCAAAATTGTGCGCGTTTTTTTTTTTCGTCGACTTCGTCGTTTAATTTAACAGTATAAAACAACGGTGCGTCAGATCACTTAAAAAATTGACTCAACCAATAAAAACATGTATTTTACGACTTGAGCGAAAAAAAAGAGAGAGAAAAACGGATCTCATTCAGATCGGTGCGGTTATTCTTCTTTGTGATTTTATATTTCGTCCCTTGGTTGTGATTTTTGGTTTAAAAAAATCCAAATTTTATTTTCGGTCGTTTTGCTGTCTTTTGCACACAGTACAGAACACGAATTGACTGCATGAAATGATGTTCTTTTTTGGTGTTCATGTGTTTGGATGCTGAGCAAACGTTCTGTTGGCCAATAAGAATTTAGGTGAGTATACGTTTTGTTGCGGTACTCAAAATATTCACAAGTAATAAGGATAGCAAGTAAACATCATCAGTATTTCGTTTAATCACAGCTTGTAATACCATAAAATTGAATATTTGAACTTTTACTCTCTTTCTCTGACACTTTTTTCCCATTTACAATTTTAGCTGAAAATGGTCATAAATGGACTTTAAACTTGTTTCAAACATTTAATATGATCATGGATATTAAAGAAACTTATTATTTTTCCCAGACTGAGCATCCTTTCTATATCTTTATATCTCGTCATAATTTTTGAGAATTAAAAAAAATGGTGAAATATTGACTATTTCCAATGTTTTCATTGTATCTGGATATTAACGGGGGTTAAAATCAAGAAAAGTCTTTACGAGGATTAAAATCAGGGAAAGTCATTCAAGTACATTCTGTGCTATAGAAAATTCATAAACAAATCAATAAATTCAAAGAAATTTAATTAATCTGAAACCAAAAAAGAGCGAAAATGCACAAGAAATTAAGCTAGCCTAAGTAATAAATATCAAGTCAATATTTCGTTTAATCACAGCTTGTAATACTATAAAATTTAATATTTGAACTTAGATGCTTTCTCCTTTTCTCTCATTCGCCTTGTCATTCCGTCTGTCACAGTTTTTGCGTGTGCAATGTTCGCCGTAAATGTAAATGACTTTGGACTCGCTTTGTAGCTTTGTTTTAAACGTTTAATATGATTATGGTCATTCGTTTATTTTCTCTCATTTTTCTCTTTCAATATGTGTCTCTTGTGAGCTCATACATTGCTGGTTTTTATGACACACCAAATTAAATTGTATTTGTTAAATAAATTACTTCCCATAATAAAATAAATTTTTTCTTTGCATTGGCAAAACACCATCAAAACTTTGTATCGAAACATAACACGAAGTTTAACGCGTCGCAATAAAAGCGCCGTTTTCTCCTCTTTCTCTCTCTCTCTCTCTCTCTCTCTCTCTCTCTCTCTCTCTCTCTCTCT